AATTGTTAATGATGTTCAACTGTCATATTAATGTTGAGGCTTGCTCAAGTATAACATCTGTGAAATATCTTTTCAAATATATTTACAAGGGTCATGATAAACAAGTTATGCATATAGATCCAGACGAAGGACAAAGTGTTATTAATGAGATTAAAAGGTTTCAAGATGCGCGTTATGTCTCTCCCCGGAGGCAATGTGGCGGATTTTTAGCTTTGCGTTTTCCCAAATTCAACCTTATGTGATGGATTTGCAAATCCATCTCCCTAATAAGCAGATGGTTAGGTTCAGAGATGATGATATAATGACATATATTGTTGCTAGAGAGAGTGGTAAACGAACAATGTTGACTGCATTTTTCGACATAAATAAAGAAGATGAGAGTGCAAGATAATATTCATATAAAGATTTCCAAAACATTACACATGGAATGCGAGCGCACGTCGTTGGAATCAGAGAAAACAAGAATCAACGATAGGACGATTGGTTTATGCTAATCCCGCCGAAGGAGAGCAGTACTACCTACGCCTACTTTTATCTCATATTAGTGGGCCTACATCTTTTAAAGATCTATTCACTGTCAATGGCATATTATACCCGACATTCTAGAAAATAGCCCTTGAGATAGGCTTAATAGAGACAGACGATAACTTATCACAATGTCTTGCAGATGCTTCTTTATTTCAGTTTCCAAAAGCTTTAAGAAGGCTATTTGCGACAATATTAATTTATTGTAAGCTAGGAGATGTTCGCAAGTTGTGGGATCAGCATTACGATTCACTTTCAGAAGATTATAGACGACAATGCGAAAGTGTTGATCTAGTTTGGAATATGTTCCTAACTGACATCACAAGCTTTCTACAATCCATGGGTAAAAATCTTGATGATTTCGATCTTCCAAAGATAAATGTAGATACCAACGTACAATTTGGAAGTTTTCGTGAGGTACAAGAGGAATACTCCATATTTGTGGAAGACGAACATTTACGTGCTCGAGACTCCCTTAATTTTGACCAAAAATACGCATATGATAAGATCATGAAGCACGTAGATGGTGATCGTTTAGGAGTGTTCTTCATAGATGGTCTAGGGGGACTGGAAAAACGTATTTGTACAAAGCATTGCTTGCCAACATTCGTTCTCGTGATCTCATTGCTCTTGCCACTGCTTCTTCAGGTGTTGCGGCTAATAATATGCCTGGGGGGGAGAACAACCCACTCCCGATTTAAAGTTCCCCTTAATCTTGATAACAACTTCATGTGCAACATAAAAAAACAAAGCGGGACTGCTCAATTGCTACGGGATGCAAAAATAATCATTTGGGACAAAGTGTCAATGGCTAAGAGGTAAGCGGTGGAGGCGCTTGATCGAACAATACAAGACATCACATGAGTGACACTACCATTCGGTGGAAAAATAATGGTTATGGGATGTGATTTTAGACAGGTCTTACTGGTCGTGAGACGTGGAACCCGAGCACAGATTGTAGATTCAAGCCTACGAATGTCACCTCTTTGGTTTTTAATTAAAAAATACGTTTAACTCTCAATATGAGAGCACGAAGTGATCCATGGTTTTTGAATTTTTAATAACAACTGGGTGATGGAGATGAAGAAATGATGGAAGAAAGCTTTATACGTATTCCTGATGACATGGCCATTGCCTATAATGATAAAGATAAATCAAAGCATGATTTGATTGACGCAATATTTCCATCTCTGCAAATCAACAGAGTAGATTCAAACTATATTACTTCGAGGGCGATATTATCAACAAAAAATGAGAATGTCGATGAGATTAATGATCAGTTGATTGATAGATTTTGCGGCGATGAAAAAGTTTACTACAGTTTCAATGAAGCAGAAGATGACAAAAATAACTTCTATCCAATGGAGTTCTTATACTCGCTGACTGTCAGTGGTTTGCCCCCGCATTACCTCCGGCTCAAAATTGGATGCCCAATAATACTATTGCAGAATATTGATCCCTCTAATGACTTATGTAATGACACCAAATTGATATGTAGAGGTTTTCAATAGAACGTAATCGATGCAAAAATAGTTGTTGGTCAGCATGCTGGAAAGAGAGTATTTTTGCCGAAAATTCCTCTTTGTCCATCTGAAGATAACATGTTCCCCTTCAAATTGAAGAGAAAATAGTTTCCAATCCGACTTAGCTTTTTTTATGACAATCAATAAAGCTCAAGGACAGACCATTCCTAATGTAAGTGTGTATCTACCAGAGTCAGTATTCTCTCACGGACAACTTTATGTGGCGTTATCAAGAGGGACATCACGTGAAAATACAAAAGTATTAGTAAAGCCTGCAAAAAAATTCAATCATGACAGAGTCTACACATCAAACGTGGTGTATCAAGAAGTTTTACGCGATTAATAAGGTACAAACAAGTACTTATCATTACACATTTTTTTACAACTACGCTTGGTATGTATCTATTATAATCATAAGACATTTCTTACAGGGCATATCTACTTATGGATGCTTCAAGTGGTATATTCTCATACTCTGTATGTGTCGATTTATATTATTTTAGATGATTATATCTTCGTTTTGTTTAAACATGAATTTTGGTTTTTTAGTGAAAATCATTATTAAACATTCTAAGAATAACAATTGAGGTGTGTTTGGAAATCCGTTAATCGTACAATTCTCTTTCCAAATTTTCGGTCAATCAACCGTTATAAAATTTGAAATTTATAATGATCATAAACGTCATACCTTCGATTACATTGACATCCTGCTGCATTGCACATGTATCCAACTAATATATATATATATATATATATATATATATATATATATATATATATATA